TTCAAAACATTTTGAACTATTTCTGGGCATCCTCTACTGAAAAAGATGGATGACTTATCCCTGTTGATTCTCTGCCCCGATGCCATGCAATATGTATCCAATAGGTTTGAAACCGATTCCGCTCCGTTAATACTTGCCCTGAAAAACAGCAGGCTGTCATCCATGAATAAAAGGTGGTTCACCGGCGGAGCTGATGGTGCCACCTTAATGCCACTGAGCTGGGATGACTCGTTCTGAGACTTTAGGAGGCACGAAAGGCCCTCTGCTGCCAACAAGAAAAGATACGGTGAGATCGGATCTCCCTGTCAGATACCACTTGTGGTTTTAAACACTTCTAACTTAACCGCATTGAACATCACTGAAAAAATACTGAACTTATCATACTCATGACAACCGTGACCCATTGTGGAGCAAAACCTAGTTTCTCCATAATAGCACGAAGGTAAGACCACTCCACTCTGTGATAAGCCTTCATCATATCTAACTTTAGTGCATAGTAGATGTTAGCTTTGGATCTATTTATCTTCATAAAATGAAGGCACTCGTAAGCTGAAATTATATTGTCCGTGATTAACCTTCCAGGAACAAATGCATACTGCTCTTCAGATATGATGTCAGGAAGCACAACCTTCAAACGATTCGCTAACACCTTGGAAGCGATCTTATAAAATACATTACACAAGCTTATAGGACGAAACTGTGAAAGTAAGACGGGATTTGTTACCTTCGGGATCAAAACCAGTAACATATCATTAAGCCGCTCGGGGCTTTCCTCTCCCCTAACAATACCAAGCACATCCCGAGTGAGCGCCTCGCCACGCACATCCCAGTGCCGCTGAAAGAAGTGCGCCGGAAATCCGTTTGGACCCGGAGCCTTAGTAGGAAACATTTGAAAGAGCGTTGATTTAACTTCTTTTTCATCATAAGGAGCCAACAAACTTGCGCTCATCGATGCAGTCACTTTCACAGGAACATGGTCGAGCACTTCCTGAAGGCCTTGGATACCCTCGGATGTGTAGAGATTCTTATAAAAATCGAGAGCAAGTTGCTGCATCTTGGTGGGATCTTCGGTTAACTGACCATTTGGTTTCTGAAGTGCTTTAATCAAGTTCTTTCTCCTCCACATCGAAGCCCTCATGTGAAAGAAGTGTGTATTCCTATCCCCCTCTAAGAGCCATTACACACGAGACCGTTGTCGCCACATTATTTCTTCCCTCATATAGAGCTCAATAAGTCTGTCATTTATCTTAACTTCAACATGCGACGGCCCAGTTCTCTGTGGTTGGCTCCTCAACCGCTCAAGCTCTTTCTTCAATTTTCTTATTTCGTCGCGAACACTGCCAAAAGTCGTCCTTGACCACTCGCCCAGGTTCTGTGCTAGATCCTCTAGCTTCCTGCGCACATCCTCCACCGATAGATTGTGACCGTCGGGCTCCCATGCAGATCGCACGGTCGGTCTTAACTCTGCATGCGTATCCCACATGGCGAAACATCTTCTCTGCCTTCCTCCCCTACGCCGGTGCCAGGCTCAACAGTATGGGAGTGTGATCAGACGTAGCTGTTGTCAGATGTTGCACCCCCGCATGGGGGAATTGTTCACACCAATCAACCGTCCCCAGTGCTATGTCCAATCGAACTCGCGTGTAAGTGCCACCGGTCACTCTCTTCTCATAAGTCCAACGAGTGCCACTAAAACCCTAGTCTACAAGGCTGCATACATCTATGACATCTCGGAAACCTTGTATTTGTGATTGGCTTCTAGTACCAACTCCATCATGCTCATCGTGCCGAAGCACCTCATTAAAATCACCAAAGCAAACCCAAGGCATATTCTGTAGATTTGCCAAGTTCTTCATCGTATCCCATGTTTGATGACGAAGATGGGTCTGAGCCTCCCCATAGAAGCATGAGAGCCTTCATGGATCTCCTCCCAGATCACTAACCTTAACATCAATATGATATCTCGAGTAACCCAAAATTTCAATCTTTATTTCGTTATTCCAAAACATAGCCAAACCTCCACTTCTTTTTATATAAGAGCTCGCCCACAAGGCCACGATCGCTTAAGCGACCAACGCACTGCGGGCATCTCGCATGCTAGGCCCAACTCACGTGGCCATTTTGGTTAAGGGTGTGCCTCTCGTGCCAGCACAGTTGACAAGTTTCTTTAGTCCCACCTCGCTCGCCCTAGGAGATGAGTCAAATACTTTTGCCTATATAATAGTCTGTCGTTGTACCCATTCAACACAAATATTTCAAACATGGTACTTTGGTATAAAACCAAAAACCAAACAGAATAATTGGTTAACCGAATTTTCGGTTTATACCGAACGCCCATCCCTAAATGTGGGAGAGCGAAAAAATGACATTGACTCGAGTTGGCCAGATGATAAGCGACAGGACACGGAGGGCCGATAGGGATGATGATGGGGACAAGGTGTGGCCTCCGAGCAAGCAAACCTTCCAAAGCGGTGAGACCCATACTTGTACCATGCCATCATCATCGTGGGCAATAGAAGAGACAAGTGGCTATGGTGGCATATACTTTAGCATTTCCTTTTTTTCTGCAAAGGCCATCATGCCTAGTATTTTTTTTAATTTAGCTTTATTATATTAACTTACAACCAGGGGCGGAGGCATGAGAGTGCAAGCAGGTGTCAGACACCCACCATCGTGAGAAAGCATCGCTTGATCAGAGAGAAAAGGATTACGCATCTGTAAGATCAGGCAATCTGTTTCCTATCTTCCCAATAATTTTGTTAGTGGGCATCGTGGCGGCTAGGTCTGCTGGCACTGTAAGCCCGTGCGCCACCGTCTCTCGGCTCTCGCTGCTTCCGCCGCTGCATCACAGGGCAGAGGGCACTCCATTCCAGCGGCGACTGATTCTACGATGGAGACCATGCCTGTTTGTCACAAGACCAGTTTCAATGATCAAGGTATGTCACAGGCAAATAATAATATTTTTGCATTAATACAATTCTATCGAGGGCCATATTTAGTTCACTAATTAGACACAAGAGAATTACAAAGAAATCTAATTTAACGGTTTGTTTCATGTTTAAATCACTGAAGGATGAAGAGAAAGAATACAACTAAAACATATTTGTTTTTCAAGCCCATTGCATCTAGCTCAAATTGTCATGGCAAATACAAATCTTTGTAAATGCTAATTCCAACCCCAGTCCAGTTGATATGCAGTTTTCTTTTATGTATTAACAAATATATGCTGCAATATAATCATGTCAATTATACGTCTGAGACTATTATTGTTGTGTTGTGTCTATTGAACAATTATTATCTTCCTCGCCCCCCTCATGTCCAAAGCCTGACTCCTCCCCTGCTTACAACATTACATTGTCCACGAGCTTATCGCCCAAGATGATGGCTTGGAGGCTCATGCGTCCACACAAGCGAAATCTTACCACAGCAATCATAATTAGCTAGCACATGAGTCTGCTTTATTTATTACTCCCTTCCTCTGTTTCTAAATATAAGTATTTTTAGAGATTTTGATTTTAATAAAGACAACATACGCATGTGTATAGACATATTTTAGAGTATAGATTCACTCAGTTTACTTTGCACGTAGTCCGTGTTGGAATCCTAAAAAGACTTGGTAACGGAGAGAGCATTAGCAAAGAAAAAAAAAGGTGTTTGTTTTCTAGGCAAAGAACAAAAAGGATGTGTCGTTTTACCGACGAGACAAACACACGTATTGCAAACAGGCCCGGCCCAGTTCACCAGGAAAGGCGGACGCCCGACCCAGGCCCGACCCGGCCCACGGGTCCTCCCGGAAGTCCGCGTCGCCTTGTCGCGTGCCGGCCGCGCTTCCCCTCCTCTCCCCGTCACCGCGCTGTGCCCACCACACGACTCCTCTCCCTCTCTCCCCCCCGCACGGACGGAGCCAAGCAGAAGCAGGCAGGCGAGCAGCTCTCCGGCGACTCGGCGAGGTAAACCCACCCCGTCTCCTCCCCCCCGCGATTAGCTCCTGGTGCTGCAGGCCGGCGTAGCCTCGTCGCTCGACGCGTTAGGATTTGGGCGGGATCTGGCGGCGATCCCTCCGTCGGCGCGGCGGACGGGGATCGCGGGCGCAGGGCGCTCAGCTCCGCCTGTCCGGGGCAGGCGCGGATCTGGGCTCCCGTGCCCTTGGATCCAATTCGGTCAGGCGCATGCGGTCCAGGCGGATTTGGGAGGAATCCGCTTCCCCCCCCTGCCCGCCCAGTTGGGTGCGTGGGTGGGGTGTTCATGAAGGCATGTGGGATATATTATTGTCTAATAATCCCGACACGGTGGTTGTCCGATTCCGGTGGTTGCGTGGATCTCTGGCCGGTCGGGCATGGTTGCTGAGTGTTTTGTCACGTTTGATCTGGGATCTCTCGGGGTGCTGCACGATTTTGCCATGCCTGGTCTGGGGACTCCAGCTCGCGGTCAGCGCGGATATCCGCCGTGGCCACGAGCAATGGACATTCTGATATATTTTAGTGATGTCGATGCATTTCGAGAAGAATATGACGAATGTATCGGCTTATGATCTTGTATGCAACTCTCATGCAGGATTGAGTAGCCACTGAAATACTATAGAAAACTCTATGCATAGTAAGAAACTGATAATAATCGGCCGTTGCTGTCTTGCACAAATCATACCTAAAGCACACAACAATGATGGCGACCAGCCTTGTATGTTAACGCCTGCTCTGGTCCTTGGACTGAACCATTAATAATATACCGTCCTGCCTCTCACATGCATTTGTGCGAAGGCTGTATATTTGGGTAGGTGATGAGATTTTTCAGCTACCCTAATGATAATGTGTGCCCTGACTCTTATAATTATTTAATCCAGACACGCGTGTTGGTTTCCTGATCATCAGTTATGCTTCTCTGGAACTACCTTTAGTACATTATACGATGCATCTATTTGGTTTCCTGAACCTCATGCTGGATGAATCACATTTCTGTTCTGTAGTTAATGTTTATTTTGTATGGCTTCTCTCAGGATGGAAATGCTCTTCAGCAGCCTTTTCTGCGACTCAGCATCGTCGGAGAACTTTTCTGGCCATCCGGGTGTTGAGAGATGCCCATTCCTGAGGAACATCAATGGAGCTACAACCTTTTCATTTTCTTCTGCTTTGCCTGTAGCTGTAAGATCTGCCTCTTATGTTGTTTTGTGATTACAGTGACCAAAGGTTGTGCAGCTTTCCTTGACAGCATGTGTTGTTCTGCAGGCCCGTGGAGGCAAGGGTCCAATCTTTGAGGATGGACCAGGCTTTGAGTCGGCATTCAAGCTTTTCCATGGACAGGATGGGATAGTTCCCCTTTCAGGAAGATCATATGTGCCTGATGAGAACCGCAGTGAGAGCACTGATGTCAAGCCTGAACCTGCTCTGCCCTTTAATCCATTGGCTGCTAGAGCCGCTACCATAAGTCTATCAGCATTTGGACCATTTGGGTTTAACTTCTTTAATGGCAAGGGCAAAAAGCAGAACAAGAAGCCCAACAATCTAGACCAGTCACACAAGAAGCCCAACAAGCCAGATCAGAATTCCATGAAAGTAATGCCCCTGTTCCCTTCTCATTCCCCCTCTTGTTTTGCAATTACTGAGTGGGTTTCTTGCTGTCTAACTGTCCTGCAAATAAGAAACCATGAGTCACATGACACAGCTTTTACTGTAACTGTAATAGTAAAATGTTATTAGTTGATTTAGAATAGCAAGGAGCTTTTAATACAGCATAAAAGCCGAGTTGTGATTGGTTAATTCTTCGCTACACTTACCACATGCAGATAGTATTAACAAAGGAAAACTACCTCTCATTTGGTCTCCTCTGTACCGCAAGACTCGATATGTAATGTTAGTTACGCTCTGCATATGTTATCCCTTGTGCTCCATTACTTCGACTTCCATCTAACTGTGATTCCGTGCTGACTGTGACTTACAATGCACCATTTTCTCCCAAGTTACAAGTTCATTTTTTTTTTGTAAAACTTTGTCTTTTTTCTTTTCTTTGAAGTGAATAATTGTGATTCCATTACCATGTTTAGCTTCTTTCGATAGTCAAGTGCTAGTGTTGATCAGAAAGGCACTTATGTGTAACCAATATTTTCATATATCCAACTAGTTTGCTCATGTTCTCCTCTGTATTCTTATCAGCAAAAAGGAGGCAACCCACCATCCCATGAGGCAATGAGCGATGAATGGCTAGAAAATGGGCAGTGCCCACTTGCCCGTTCTTACCGTGCAATGAGTGGCGTTCTGCCCCTTGTCGCCAAGGCTCTACAGCCACCAGCTGGTATGAAGCTGAAGTGCCCGCCTGCGATTGTTGCTGCACGAGCAGCCCTTGCACGCACAACCCTCGTGAAGTCCCTCCGTCCCCAGCCCCTGCCTGCAAAGATGGTAGCCATCGCAATGCTCGGGATGGCAGCGAATGTCCCTCTAGGGGTGTGGCGCGAGCACACCAAGAAATTCTCCCCCCAGTGGTTCGCTGCCGTGCACGCCGCCGTTCCGTTCATCGCGATGCTGAGGAAGTCTGTCAACATGCCCAGGACCGCGATGGTGTTCACCATAGCAGCCTCCATCCTTGGGCAGACCATCGGGTCTAGGGCCGAGCGCATCCGCCTGAAGACTCTGGCTGCAAAGGGCACCGCCGGCCCCGCCACCGCAGTCACTGTCATGTATCCAGACAAGAGCTGCAGCTGCAGCGACGCCGAGGGCAAGGCGTGGGATCCTCTTGCGCTGAAGATGCCTGGCTCTGCTAACGCAGGCGCTCCTGCACCTACCCCTAGCATGTGCTTCTAACCGCGGAACTTAGCGGCCAGGTACCGGTTTCTATTTATCGTGTATGTAATTGCCTTGCCTGTCCCTAGAAAGCAGAGCTGTTTGTGATGTTTTCTGGGATGAGACAAGTGGAATAAGGTGCTATTAGTACCATGTCATGGTGTGTCGTCAGTCTATGCATCTGTAATCTGATGCTAATATATATATCTACACAGAAACAATTATATTGTGGTTGTCCTTAAAGCAATTTGTTATGCTGTGTCTGAAACCTTGGTTGTTACAGAATAAAGCTTCCTCCCTATATGTATACACACACACACACAAGATGTGTTTCAACAGTGCAAATTCAAGCCTTGACTGTACGCTTCTTCTACAACATTTTTTCTTGCTAATGGTTACAAAGGCACAATCGTGAGAATAATTTGCTACCACAAGAAAGTAATTTCGAACACAAGGCCTTTGATATAAGTTCTGTACAAGCAGTGTGTGGATGTCGACAGTCCAGTAGTATCACATATAGATGATGTAAAATGCATCATCAAATTGTGGTGCTTCGAGTAAAATTTACATCACCTAAAATTGGTTTTTTACATAACTCCAATAGATGATGTAAAATAGTAAAGAATTTAAACAATTTTAATAATATTGTAGGTTACGAAACTTGGTCGAATGTTATACTCACATGTGAAATTTCACAAAAAAAGAAGAAGACACATGTGGTACTCTTAGTGAAGAAAACATAATCGTACCTTCAAAACCACATATGTCATTTCTTCATGAAACTTCACACGTAACTAGGGGTGTAAAAAAATTCAGAATTATTTGAACTTCTAGCTTTTTTCTTTCGATTTTATTATTTACTAGTAAATGTGTACGTGCAATGCACGTTGATATTAGGTAATATATTAATTACAAGTAAATATTAGGTAGGATATCATTTGCGTATTAATTATCTGATTAGCATTGGCATTAATATTTGGTATGATATTAACTGCACACTAAACGTGTTGAGCGCTCACCATTGGAGCAGTCTGAGTCGTTGGATTGACCTGATTTGATGGCCGGGATTTGTTGGATCTGTCCCTTTGGGTCTTTTTATATTGGTATAGATATGGGCGCATGTGGAACCAAGTTCCCAAAATCCATTGTCCCTAAAACTAAAGGTAAATAATATTTTTTCTACTTTTTTTATGAGAGAGAAATATTTTGTCTACTAAGTTTAAATGAACAAACGACTTGTGTAAACCAAACGAGGATATGACAGCGGGGCCCACTGCACAGAGAGAGGCGAGGAAGCCTCCCAAGCTGGGCCCAGTCGCATAGAGAGGAATGGGAACGGAAACGGCCTGCCAAGTGGGACCCGGGCGCATAGACAGAAGGGGGGCTCCCGCCTCCCGCCATTTCCATCCCCTCGCCACGGCGCCTTCCCGCGCAGACCCCGGCGCCAAGTTTTTCTTACCGCCATTTTCTTGGCGCCAATCGCCCTCCCGGCTCCGTTTCCCGCCACGCGCGCCTCGCTCCCACCTATAAACTCCCTCGCCGGCCCCTCTCTCTCATCCATCCCCATCTCCTCCGCCGCAATCCTCCCTCCTCACCTTCATCCAGATCCACAGAGCTAGACCGAGCCAGAGAGATCGTCGGATCAACAGTTCGAGAAAGGAGAGTTCAGCCGGATCTCAATCACCATGGTGGTCGCGCTCGGCCCCGGCAGGTTCTACGGCGGCGGCCTGCCGCGCCCGCGCGTCTTCCCCGGCGACCGCGTCGACCCGCCGGCGCCCGTCACCGACGCGCTCCTCTGCTGGGCGCGCGAAGCGCACTGGTCCATGGGCGGGCTCGGCGCCAAGCGCCTCCGCCTGCAGGGCCGCATCGAGGGCAACCTCGTCAAGCTCTGCCGCACCGCGCGCCGCGACGCCAGGGTCTCCGCCAAGTCCGCCAAGGCCGCCAAGTCCAAGGTCCGCGCCGCGGGGCACGGGCCCGCCCCTGCCACTCTCGACGACGCGCTCGGCTCCGACGACGACGACTCCGAGGACGAGGCGGAGGTCGCGGCCCAGGAGAAGGCTCTGCGGCGCGAGGTCGTTGATGACGACGAGGACTCCGAGTCCGGCGAGTCGGAGGGCGAGGGGGTGCCGCTCGTCACCATCGCTGCCGCCGCCAAGAGGAAGCGCGTCAGGAAGCTCTCCGACGAGTTCGACCGCATCGCCGCCGCGCAGCTCGAGGGCGGCGGGAAGAAGAAGCCCGCGGCCGCGGCTCCGGCCAAGGCCCTGCTGAGGAAGAAGGCAGTCGCTGCGGCTGCTCTTGCCCCGGCCACTGAGGCGCCGGCGAAGAAGTCGTTGAAGAGGAAGGCGGTGGCGCCGGCTGCTGGTGCTGTGGCGAGGACGTCGCCGAAGAGGAAGACCGCTGAGGTGCCGGCGGCCAAGACATCACCGAAGAGGAAGACCGCTGAGGCGCCGGCGGCAAGGAGGACGTCGCCGAGGTCGAAGCACTGATGGATAGGTGCCCGTTTCCATTTGCAATCCCTGTTCTTGGCTCTAGCGATTGTGGTGTGATCTCGGAGAGGCAGCATGCCGTGTGTTCGTCGAAATGCTTGAATGCAATCTGTCATGCTTCTTTCTGTATATGATTCAAATCCCTCAAATGTCTCTGGTAAACTCTGAATTATCTTGAAATAATTGTTCCTGCACTGAGATCTGAAAGTCTTCCTCAAATAACAGTTGATGTATTGAGGCGTGGTCTGGAGATGCGATTACTGAGATCTGAAATTCCAGTGTCCATGTTTCTTTCTATATCTGAATCGAATTCCTTAAGAATTGTCTGATCAACCCTGAACATAGTCTGTTCCCATACCGTGATCTTAAGTAAAACACTGGAATAATTTAGTAGTTTCAGTACTGAGATCTGAAAATGTTTGATGCTGTGTCTTACATTTTGTTTATCAGTTGAGTTGATGTTATGATGCGAATTGCAAAATGATTTCAAGTGCAATTCCCTATCTGTTCTTGTTGCTATTGAGATGTGGAAATGTTCCATTTCTTGCTATGTTTGATGCTTCTTATGTTGACATTATATTTGCCGAGGTCGAGGTGTGATAGCGGTCTGGGCAGGGTCCAGTTCACATTGATATGTGATTAACACTCAAGGTCACATCCCCATGTGACTAACACCCAAAGAGTTTTGGGTTTGATCATGTTATGCTTGTGAGAGAGGTTTCAGTCAACGGGTCTGAAACATTCAGATCCGTATGTACTTCACAAATTTCTATGTCATCTTCTACATGCAGGTACCACGTTCTATTTGGAGCTATTCCAAATAACTGTTCTACTATACAAATCCAGTTTACTATTCAGAATAATCTGGATTAGTGTCAAAGTTTGCATCAGCGTAACCCTTTACGACGAACTCTTTCACCACCTCCATAATTGAGAAAAATTCCTTAGTCCACTAGTTACTAAGGATAACTTTGACCGCTGTCCTGTGATCCTTTCTTGGATCACTCTTGTACCCCTTGACTGACTCATGGCAAGGCACACTTCAGGTGCGGTACACAGCATAGCATACTGTATAGAGCCTATGACAAAAGCATAGGGGACGACCTTCGTCCTTCCTCTTTCTTCTGTCGTGGTCGAGCTTTAAGTCTTAACTTCATACCTTACAACTCAGGCAAGAACTCGTTCTTTGACTGATCCATCTTGAACACCTTCAAGATCATGTCAAGGTATGTGCTCATTTGAAAGTACCATTAAGCGTTTTGATCTATCCTTATAGATCTTGATGCTCAATGTTCAAGTAGCTTAATCCAGGCTTTCCATTGAAAAACACTTTCCAAATAACCCTATATGCTTTCCAGAAATTCTACGTTATTTCTGATCAACAACATATATTCATCAGAAATTCTATAGTGCTCCCACTCATTTCTTTGGAAATACAAGTTTCTCATAAACTTTGTATAAACCCAAAATCTTTGATCATCATCAAAGCGTATATTCCAACTCTGAGATGCTTACTCCAGTCCTTAGAAGGATTGCTAGAGCTTTGCATACTTGTTAGCATCTTTCAGGATTGTTAAAACCTTCTGGTTGTATCACATACATCCTTTCCTCAAGAAAATCGTGAGGAAACAATGGTTTTTGACATCCTATCTGCAAGATTTCATAAATAATGCAGTAACCGCTAATATAATTCCAACAGACTCTTAGCATCGCTACGAGTGAGAAAGTCTCATCGTAGTCAACTCCTTGAACTTGTCGGAAAACATCTTAACGACAAGTCGAGCTTTCTTAATGGTGATACTTACCATCATTGTCCGTCTTCCTTTTAAAATCCATATGTACCTAACAGCCTTACGACCATCAAGTAGTTCTTCCAAAGTCTACACTTTGTTTTCATATATGGATTCTCTCTCGGATTATATGGCCTCGAGCCATTTTGGAATCCAGGCCCACCATCGCTTCTCCATAGCTCGTAGGTTCATTGTTGTCTAGCAACATGACTTCCAAGACAGGATTACGTACCACTCTGAAGTAGTACGCATCCTTGTCATCCCACGAGGTTTGGTAGTGACTTGATCTGAAGTTTCATGATCACTATCATAAGCTTCCACTTCAATTGGTGTAGGTGCCACAGGAACAACTCCCTGTGCCCTGCCACACACTAGTTAAAGAGACGGTTCAATAACCTCATCAAGTCTCCACCATCCTCCCACTCAATTCTTTCGAGAGAAACTTTTCCTCGAGAAAGGACCCGATTCTGGAAACAATCCCTTATTGCTTTCGGATCTGAGACAGGAAGTATACCCAACTGTTTTGGGTGTCCTATGAAGATGCATTTATCCGCTTTGGGTTCGAGCTTATCAGCCTGAAACTTTTTCACATAAGCGTCGCAGCCCCAAACTTTTAAGAAATGACAGCTTAGGTTTCTCTAAACCATAGTTCATATGGTGTCATCTCATCGGAATTACGTGGTGCCTATTTAAAGTGAATGTGGTTGTCTCTAATGCCTAACCCATAAACTATCGTGGTAATTCGATAAGAGACATCATGGTATGCATCATATCCAATAGGGTGCAGTTATGATGTTCGGACACACCATCACACTATGGTGTTCCAGGCTGTATTAGTTGTGAAAAAATTTCCACAATGTCTTAATTCTGTGCCAAACTCGTAATTCAGATATTCATCTCTATGATCATATCATAGATATTTTATCCTCTTGTCACGACGATCTTTCAACTTCACCCTGAAATTACTTTAACCTTTTAATAATTCAGACTCGTGATTCATCAAGTAAATATACTCATCATCTACTCAAATCATCTGTGAAGTAAGAACATAACGATATCCACTACACGCCTCAGCACTCATTGGACTGCACACATCAAAATATATTACTTCCAACAAGTTGATTTCTAGTTCCATTTTACTGAAAATGAGGCTTTCAGTCATCTTGCCCATGTGGTATGATTTGCATGTCTCAAGTGATTCAAAATCAAGTGAGTCCAAACGGTCCATTTGCATGGAGTTTCTTCATGCATATACACCAATAGACATGGTTCGCATGTCTCAAACTTTTCAAAAACGAGTGAGCCCAAAGATCCATCAACATGGAGCTTCTTCATGCGTTTTATACCAATATGACTTACATGGCAGTGCCACAAGTAGGTGGTACTATCATTACTATCTTATATCTTTTGGCATGAACATGTGTATCACTACGATCGATATTCAATAAACCATTCATTTTAGGTGCAAGACCATTGAAGGTATTATTCAAATAAACAGAGTAACCATTATTCTCCTTAAATGAATAACCGTATTGCGATAGACATAATCCAATCATGTCTATGCCCAACGCAAACACCAATCTCGATGGTAGAGGGAGCGTGCGATGCTTGATCACATCAAGCTTGGAAAAACTTCCAACACATATCGCCAGCTCACTTTTAGCTAGTCTCCGTTTACTCCGCAGCCTTTTATTTTGAGTTTACTAACACTTAGCAACCGAACCGGTATCTAATACCATGGTGCTACTAGGAGTACTAGTAAAGTACACATTAACACAATGTATTTCCAATATACTTCTATCGACCTTGCCAGCCTTCTCATCCACCAAGTATCTAGGGTAATTCTGCTCCAGTGGCTGTTCCTCTTATTATAGAAGCACTTAGTCTCGGGTTTGGGTTCAACCTTGGGTTTCTTCACTAGAGCAGCAGCTGATTTGCCGTTTCATGAAGTATCCCTTCTTGCCCTTGCCCTTCTTGAAACTAGTGGTTTCACCAACCATCAACAATTGATGCTCCTTCTTGATTTCTACTTTTGTGGTGTCAAACATCGCGAATATCTCAAGGATCATCATATATGTCCCTGATATATTATAGTTCATCACGAAGCTCTAGCAGCTTGGTGGTAATGACTTCGGAGAAACATCACTATCTCATCTGGAAGATCAACTCCCACTCGATTCAAATGATTGTTGTACTCAGACAATCTGAGCACAAGCTCAACAATTGAGCTTTTCTCCCTTCGTTTGCAGGCTAAGAAAATCGTCGGAGGTCTTATACCTCTTGACATGGGCACGAGCCTGAAATCCCAATTTCAGCCCTCGAAACATCTCATATGTTTCGCGACGTCTCAAAACGTCTTCGGTGCCTCAACTCTAAACCGTTTAACTGAACTATCACGTAGTTATCAAAATGTGTATGTCAGATGTTCGCAACATCCACAGACGACGTTCGAGGTTCAGCACACTTAGCGGTGCATTAAGGACATAAGCCTTCTATGAAGCAATGAGGACAATCCTCAATTTACGGACCTACTCCGCATAATTGCTACTATCAACTTTCAACTAAATTTTCTCTAGGAACATATCTAAACAGTAGAACTGAAGCGCGAGCCACGACATAATTTGCGAAGACCTTTTGACTATGTTCGGGATAATTAAGTTCATCTTATGAACTCCCACTCAGATAGACATCCCTCTAGTCATCTAAGTGATTACATGATCCGAGTCAACTAGGCCGTGTCCGGTCATCACGTGAGACGGACTTGTCATCATCGGTGAACATCTTCATGTTGATCGTATCTACCATACGACTCATGCTCGACCTTTCGGTCTCTTGTATTCCAAGGCCATGTCTGTACATGCTAGGCTCGTCAAGTCAACGTAAGTGTTTCGCGTGTGTAAATCGGTCTTACACCCGTTGTATGTGAACGTTAGAATCTATCACACCCGATCATCACGTGGTGCTTCGAAACGACGAACTTTCGCAACGGTGCACAGTTAGGGGGAACACTTTCTTGAAATTTTAATGAGGGATCATCTTATTTACTACCGTCGTTCTAAGCAAATAAGATGCAAAAACATGATAAACATCACATGCAATCAAAAAGTGACATGATATGGCCAATATCATTTTGCTCCTTTTGATCTCCATCTTCGGGGCTCCATGATCATTATCGTCACCGGCATGACACCATGATCTCCATCATCGTGT